TTTAAAATAAGAAATTTAATTAATTTAATTATCAAATTAAAAATAAAATTAATTAAATATTTTAATCAGTTTTGACTATTAAACTTCAATATTTTTAATATCATTATCACATTAAATATTATAATTTTATCATATGAAATTTATACATTTTTAATAAATAGTTACAATTATAAATATTTTAAAAAATTAAATTTATTAAAATTAATTATTTTTTAAAACATCGATCATTACTATAATGATGTGACATGTGATATCAATTGATCTAAAAATATATTTAACATTTAATATTTAGGGTAAATTATGTATTTAGTATCTAAATAATTAATTTTGATCCGTTTTACTATTTAAACTTTTAATTTTTTCAAAACCATACCTAAAGTTTAATTTTTGTTTCGCTTTAGTACACCGTTCAAAATTTAACATTAAATTTTGGAAAAAAATGAAAGTTTAGGTACTAAAACGGACCAAAACTGATAGTTTAGGTACTAAACACATGAAGTTTTCAACAGTGGAGAATAAAACGAAATAAAAATTAAACGTTAGATATGATTTAAAATAAATAAAAATTTAGGTACTAAAAAACTAAAGCTGATAATTTATATACTAAATGTAATTTACCCTAATATTTTTTTAAAAGAATGAGTTGATGTTTGCTTGCATGTCATGATTTGAAAATTTTAAGATAATATTCCTTTATTAGGGTTAATAGTTTAATCTTCGTTTTTGTCGAGATGAATTTTTAATTTATAAAGTAAATCAATATTCTTTTAAAAATTTGCTTACATTATGCATTGTAAATTAAATAAAATCTGGAAATTGAAAAATTAAAACAATGAGTAATTGATTAGGTATTAATTTTAGGTATTGTGGGGTATTAATCTTTTTCCATATGTAACCGATTTCAGATTATGTTTCATGATTTTGCTGACCAAAACTTGTTGTTTTAGTAAAATTCAAAATTTTATCAGAATAATTTGATTTTAGGTGATCATCTAATCTTACATAAAAAATAATCGATGAGGACTTTCAATTTCATTCGTTTTAAAATCGTCAGACCTAAAGATTTCCGACAATATGCATTATATTATTGTATTTTGACATATAAAACTAAAATGTAAGTTAAGAGACGAGCTTCGAGGACGAGAGATCAAGCAATAAGTCTAATAGGAGACATTGGGCGGATAATGATGATAGAATGTTGGTGCAATACCCTATTCGATTGATTATTGAACCATACCATTTAGGCATCCATAAAATGTTGATCGGTGATTTGAGATAAGGATAACTACTAGTTCCTACTTGTACTAGAGAAATGTTACAATCAAAACTCTTACCTTTTGGTTTTAAAGTTGAGTTTTCATCCACGAACCAAATTACTCTATTAGTTAAAAGAATGATTGTTATTCTTAAAAGTTTTTAGTTTGAGTATCAGTGACTACCACAAAGAATAATTAAGCGTTCATTGTCACCTAACTGAAAACATTTAAAACAGAAACTACTTTATAACTATCTTAGCTTAATTAAAAAAAAATTGACCCTTACATTGACAATAGGCTAAGGTCACTTAGATTGGTCAGTTATATGCAATAAGATATATGTAAGGATGAACATGAGACGGCGAGGGTTGAATTTTTTACCTTCAATCAGAATATTATTTATTATATTCAAGTCGATCCAATTCATTTGGGATCTTACGGATTCACCCTTTTCCCTATTCAAAGATAAATCTTTTGTCGATGTGTTTTCAAACCAAGAATTATTTACGGATGAAGAGATGTTAAAGAAGCTTCTTATTTTTCATACAAATCCTCTTATATCCGTATATAAATGTTGGTTTGTCAAAAATACAAAAAAAAAATTCAAATTATTGATTTATCGTTAGAGATGGCTCCGGATAATTAAGAATAATCTTATTACCAAACTGATATAAGCTAAGAGGGGATATCTATAATGAGAGAGGGGAAGGGAGGCAAACAAAAGCACAATCTTTATGAGAAATGTATTACTACTACAAGATATTAACCATGTCTGAAATGAAGTTGTTCGGCAAGTAGATTCCATTGCTGACATTGAACCAGGATGAAACTTTGGTCCATGATTGTTGTGAAACAAATCTTCTTTCTTCATCATCTGATTCTTTAGCTGCTGTGCATTCTAATCACGGGATTCAATCTCACCCTCCCATGGAAGGTCAGGTAAATTTTCTTAAAATCATTTGATGGCTTGCTTTAGTTTTTTTCATGGTTCTTCATCAAACTTTGTCGTTCACTCAGTTCTGTAATTTGTTTTTTCCTCCCTGCAAATCTCAGTGGCTTAAGACACATTTATTAATAATTTAATTTTGTAATTTTTAAACTTCTAATATATATTTTTTAAAATTTACACTTTTTAACGTAAAATCTTAATCTCTAAATGCATCTATCTATTTAATACATTGCAGTTCATTGTTGAGTAAATTTAAAGTTGAAATTTTGAATTTTGTAATAGGCTTAATATCAATATAAGTGCCTAAACTATATATCTTTTCCCAAATAGGTGCATAAACTATTTTTTGACTCATCTTGGTGCCTAACATTACAAGCGTCATATAGGTGCTCGTGTCATCAACGATGTTAATTCCTTCGTTAAGTGACACATGTCACAACCTGGTAATTTTAAAAAATTTATTTAAAATTTAAAAAAATAAAATTATATATATATATAAAAGAAAACACAAATTTTGAAATAAACCCAAAACTTTGAAAACCTTCATTTCAACCCTAAACTCACGCTGATCATCGCCTTTTGCTGTCTGCGAAGCTCCACTAGACCTCCCCTTCCCCCGGTGGCCAAAACCCCAATGAAATTGTGACTGATTAAAAGTCGATCGACGATGAATCAATGTTTTATACCCCGCGAACCCTAGGATAAAAATTGCGATCCCACGCGATTCTGATGATCAATCGACGACAACTACAACGACGTATGAGTAGGAGGATAGTATGGACTATGTCGGTGGTCGCGGCCGAAAAGGGAGTCAGCAGCGGATTAAGGTTAGGATTTGGGATTTTTGGGGTTGTTTTATAATGGCTTAAATATACAACAGGTGCCCAACGTATGCCTTTGGTTCCAGTTTAGTGCCTAACGTTTATTTCTTTTTAGTTTGGTGCCTAACGTTTTATTCCGTAACTCAAATTGGGTCAGGCCGTGATGGACCGTTGATTTTGGCCGTTAAGTGACACATTTCACAACCTGTTGATTTTAAAAAATTTATTTAAAATTAAAATTAAAATTACATGTATATTTTTAAAAAAAAACACAAATTTTTAAATAAACCGAAAACTTAGAAAACCTTCATTTCAACCCTTAAACCCAAGCTGCCCGCAGCCTTTTGCATTTGACGAAGCTCCACCCCACCTCCCCTCCCCTCGGCAACCAAAAGCCCCATAAAATTTTGACTGATCGATGACGAATCAACGTTTTACACACCACGAACCCTAAGATGAAAATCATGATCCCATGCGATTCCAACGGTCGATCGATCGTCGATCGGTCACGATTTCATGGGGGTTTTGGTCACCAAGGGTAGTGGAGGTCGGATAGAGCTTCATCAACGGCAAAAGGTGAAGGTCGGCGTGGGTTTAGGGGTTGAAATGAAGGTTTTCAAAGTTTTGGATTTATTTCAAAATTTTGTGTTTTTTTATAAAATATATATATAATTTTAATTTTAAATTTTAAATAATTTTTTAAAATTATCAGGTTATGACACATGTCAGTTAACGACCAAAATTAACGGTCTGTTATGGCCTGACCAAATTTGAATTACATAATGAAACGTTAAGCACCAAACTTGAACAAAATAAACATTAGGCACTAAACTGAAACCAAAGGCATACATTTGGTACCTTTCGTATATTTAAGCCTTTTATAATATAAGAAAAGTTAGTTTTTTTTTTAATATCATACTATATTTAATATTGTTTTAAATAAATTTCAAAATATCATATTGTGACATGTGTCATTTAACGGGAAAATTAATGTCGTTGACGGTCTGAGCACCTAAATGAATAAGTTTGTAATGTTAGACACCTAGATGAATCAAATAATAGGTTAGATATCTATTTGAGAAAAACAGTATAATTTGAGCATTTGTTTTAGTATTAAGCCTTTTGTAATATCATATTTGAATCTTAACGCAGTATGATTCCTATAGTTGCAATAACCATATAAAAGTTAAACTATTTTAGTTAAATATTATATATAAATGTAAGAAAAAATTATAAATAATAATAATTAAAAATATTTTTTTACTTATTTTTTTAGTTAAATTAATATCCAGTTAATTTGAATGAAGAATTTTTATTAGTAATATATCCAGATAGATGGACGATAAGCTTAAGAAGCATTTTTAGATAACATTAGCAAAATTATTGACTAAATTAAACAAAAAATATTTGAATGTAGATGCCAAGTGGCAAACCGTCCATGTCCTTTGACTTGGCCCTTGGTAAACTAACTTTTTTTAGGGTAGATTACAAAAAAGTCCCTTATTATAGGGTATTATTTTATTGAGCCCTATAACTATTAAAAGTTACAAAATAATCTCGTCTTTACTTTATTGAGTCATTTGATTATTAAAAGTTATAAAATGATAACTTGACTATTCACATGTTCAAAATCTGTCTTTTTTTATTAAAAAAATTACAGTCCTTTGAACTAGACGTTAAGGTGACTGAGGTATGATAAAATATAATCTTAAAATCTCAAATGATTATACAACTCAAATAGTTATAAGATCAGGTTTTATCATATTTCAATCAACATGTTAACTTCTAACGTAAATGACTGTCAATTTTTTAAAGTAAAAGAAAGATGTGTAACGTACGAATAGTTGGATAATTATTTTGTAACTTTTAATAGTTGGAGGATTCAACAAAGTAATATCCTATAGTTAGTGGTCTATTTTGTAATTTATACTTCTTTAAATATTTAATAAAGGATCATTTAGATAGGGGAAAAAAAGACTTTGCTTTTCCCTGTTTTGGAAGTCTTCTCCTTTAACAACAAACCCAGAGAATTTCTGAGGGAAATTTGCAAGAAAAAAGAATATGGGAAACAATACTGGATTATTTGATCTGGAAAAGCACTTTTCTTTTTATGGTGCATACCATAGCAACCCAATAAATATAGCAATCCACATGTTATTTGTTTGGCCAATTTTCTTCACTGCAATCCTCCTCCTCGACTTCACTCCTCCTCTGTTTAATCTCACTCAGATTAATTTCTCTCTGTTTGGGATCCAAGTTCCGTTGGTTTTCAACTTTGGGTTCTTGTTAGCTTTGATCTACGTTGTGGTTTACGTGTGTTTGGATTTCAAAGCTGGAACCTTGGCAGCCTTCCTTTGTGGGGTTTGTTGGATTGTTAGCAACTTTCTCGCAACTCGGCTTGGCTTTTCTCTTGCTTGGAAGGTACACATTTTTACTTCCATTTTGTATGGACTTTGTTTAATTTTTGATTCGATTTTTATTTCAATTTCTTGTTTCAATCTATTTTTTCTTTCAATTTCAGGTTGTTCTTGCGGTTCAAGTTTGCTGCTGGATTGGACAGTTCATTGGCCATGGAGTCTTTGAGGTAACGGATTCTAATCATTGCATTCATACATACAACAAGTGAATGCCTTTAAATCATGTATTCGTTCTCCTAAAGATCGATTATTATGTTACAGAAACGAGCTCCGGCTTTATTGGATAACCTTGTTCAAGCCTTTGTAATGGCTCCCTTCTTTGTGCTGTTTGAGGTAATTTCATCTACATTTCTTTCAAAATAAATGAAAAGGGGGACAGAAACAGAAAGTGATTGATCTTAAGAAACATTCATAAATTTTTGTCCTTTGTTCCTCAGGCTCTTCAAACCTTGTTCGGGTACGAACCCTACCCGGGGTTTCATGCAAGTGTTCAAGCAAAGATCGAAACCGAAATCGATGAATGGAAAGAGAAGAAGCAGAAGTTGCTTCATTAGATTCTGCATCCATTGGCATTAGCTTGCAGGTGAGTTCTATGAGCGGAAAACTCAAAACAAAATCGTATCATACACATTCTGAAACAGACCGTTACAGCAGTTTTAATTAATAATGCATTTGTTGTCAAAAGGAGTAATCTCGTATTGTCATTATGAACAGAGTTTAGAAGCATTCACTTGTTAGGAATCCGAGTTGATTGCTTGCGAAATTCAAAGTAATGATATATTATCATTTGGATGACATCTGGTATGCTTAACTTTTCACCAGAAGTAAATCATGAACACCTTAACAAGATTGTCTGACTATTTTGAGCTTCAAACCTTTCTCCATCGATAGAATCGTCATCATTCGATACTTTACCGGATTGTTTGGCACCAAGCTAAATTTGAAAAACCTGCACAAAATGGCCAATGCAATCTTCATCTGGAGATAGGCCGAGTCCTTTCCAAGGCATATTCTTGGTCCACCCTGCATGTCTCAAGAACCAGTTAGCCACTATGTTGCAGCATAAGCTTAGAGTATCCTTTGATTGATTCGAGAGCTCGCGTAGATAAGATCTATTGCATATTATACCTGAAATGCAGTGAACTTGAATGGAGATGCGTTCTGGAAGTAGCTGTTGTATCACGCCCGGCAATCATGAAATTCAAGACGATATCTCTAAGACTTTTGTCTGTTAAACTCCCTTCCGGATCTTCACTTAGTTCGATAAATCTTGACAATATGTCATGCTTTATCTGAAATTCTCCACCAAGAAATTTTCGTAAGTTTTCCGGGAAAAAGGGGAAAGAAAGTAAATAAGCAAAGAGGCAACCTTTTGTTACCTTACTAGTTTTGCAGGATTCCCGAGTTTCTTTAAACTCTGCTTTTCTTTTCCTTATGACATTGTATGTAAACTCATCAATGATTTTGATGCTCTTTCCGAGAAGAGCTTCGGATCCGACATTGAGAAATCGTTTCAATTTCCACAGCGGATCGATGAACCGAAGTGTCACAATGATGTTTGCAGTATCGAATGCTCGAGCAAAGCTGTTATCCGGTAAACTGGGAGCCAATGTTCCAATTTCAACACCAAACCCCACCTTGCAAATGGAGTCTAATGTCATCCTCATCAACAAATCCTGAAAGAAAAAGGGCCAAATTTTGCATCTCCATCTATACGACAAAACCGGATAAAACCAAACAAAAACATCATAGGATTTACCTGCATGTCTACTTCTTGGTTATGGAAACTAGCTTGAGTTAGAATAGAATGGAGTTGCAGACTATATTCCCTGAAAACCACAGTGCTGAAATCCCTCAAATTCTTCGATGCAAACTTGAAACTAGCTGTCTTCCTTTGCTTCTTCCATAGTTCACCATCAACATTGAAAATTCCATCTCCGAGCAGCACTTCCATATATGAATGGTATGTTTCGCCCTTTCGATATTTTAAGAAGAAAACAAAACAGATATCGAAATCTCCGTTAACCGATATCAAGCATGTGGCAGTTGATGGAGAGAAGAAAAGAATAACGAAATAACGAAGGCTTTACCTTGGGGTAATTGGCAAAGTTGGTCTTGAGCACATGTTCAACATTAGCAGGATCAGCAATGTAATTATAAGTCGTGAATGGCATTGGGACCACGACGGTTCTCAATTCGGACAGGTACCCGACGAGCCAGTCGTGCATTCGGTCATAGTTCATTAATTGTTCGAGCGCCGCCCCGATGAGTGGCCATGTTTTGGGGCCCTTTTTGTTCCTCTGGTTCCGTCTGTAAACAAAGATCCATGAAATGAACATGCAAGCTAGCATCACTAGCCCCAAGTTGCATCCATCTGGAAAACCTAAAAAAAGACTGTTTTGAACTTCCATTTTTTAAGAGTAAAAATAATGTGTTGAAATCTAATTTGCTGGTGGAATGAATTGGGGGAAATTAGCGTTTTTTATAAGGATTTTGAACCATGAAGAACAAGATAATGCTATAATGTAGATTAGTTGTGAAGTTCGTGAGTTAACTACAACTTTTGTCAACGTTCTTTGCATGCTATATAGGTTTGAAAAGTTATTCACATCATTTTGCTTCCTTAACCTTGATCTATCCAAATGTTCTATAAAATAAGATTGTTAAATCTTCATATCAAAACAAATAATATAATTTCGGGTGAATCTCCTATAATGGAGTTCTTTGTTAAACGATAACATCACGAGATTATAGTGTGGACCAGGCCGTTGTTGAAAGTCCAAGAAGGGGACAGAAGGGGGCCACCAAAATCACCGAACCAAAGTCATATTTTGCTGCTCATTAATGCACCGAATTCGGTGCAATTAATGTGTTGATTTTTTGAAATTGGTAAAATTACTCTTTTAGTCATTTGGACTTTAGGATATTTACAAGATTAGTCTCTAAGCTTCAATTATAAATACCATAGCTCATTTAGCTTCAAAATCATCCCAAAAATAATTTCTTTCTCCCATTATTAGAGAGCTTTCTTGTGAGTAGTGAGTGTTTAGTAAACACATGTAAATTTTCTCTTTTAGTAAAAGATCTGCAGCAATCCGGAGACATAAACAAGTTTGGTTAAACTCTGTTATCAATTTCGGGTATTATTTTTCTGCTTTTATTTCGCATTCTCACTAATCTGGTTATAGGGAAATTACTCGTTACTCGTTTATTTCCCAACAACTGGTATCAAAGCTTTTGGTTGTGAATTTTGTCAATTTTTTGCGAGGTTACTATTCATTACTATTCACATGAATAGTGAAATTTTGTCGGCGATACGAATTTGTCGACGGAGGTTTTCTAATACATAGTGGTTCGCAAGAATTGTCAGAAACAATCCAAACGAAGCCAGATTCGAGTAGGAGCGATGGCTGCAGACGAAGGGAAGGTGAAAATTGAGAAGTTCAATGGTGCGGACTTTGGCTTTTGAAAGATGCAGATTGAAGATTTTTTGTACAAAAAAAATCTATATCAACCTCTCTCAGGGAAGCAACCAGAGGGCATGAAGAATGAAGACTGGGCTCTTCTCGACAGAGAAGCCCTCGGAGTTATCCGACTGACGTTATCCCACAATGTTGCTTTCAACATAGCAAAGGAAAAGACCACGGCGGGTCTTATGGCGGCTCTCTCCAGTATGTATGAGAAGCCATCGGCCTAAAAAAAGTTCACTTGATGAGGCGATTATTCAATTTGCGGATGGCGGAAGGGGCATCAGTGGCTCAATACTTAAATGAACTCAACACAATCACAACCCAGTTGAGTTCTGTGGAAATTGAATTTGATAATGAAGTTCGAGCTTTAATTATCTTATCATCTCTACCAGACAGTTGGAGTGCTACTGTTACGACAGTCAGCAGCTCGTCGGGAAACAGTAAATTAAAATTCGACGATGTTCAGAATCTGGTATTGAGTGAAGAAATTCGACGGAGAGAATCGGGTGAAGCATCAACCTCCTCAGCCTTGCACACAATGTCTAGAGGAAGAACTTCAGAAAGAAATTTAAATTGTGGCATATCAAAATCCAGACGGGGAAAATCCAGAACGAGAAAGAAAGATTTTACCTTTTATAATTGTGGCAAGAAGGGTCACTTTAAAAGAGATTGCCGAGCACTGAAGAAAGATACCAGCGTACAGGATTCTGCCAACATGATAGAGGAGACAGGTGATGCCATGGTTCTAAGCGTCAACAGTTCGATTGAATCATGGATCTTGGATTCAGGGGCATCTTTCCACTCCACCCCATGCCGAGAAATCATGGAGAACTATGTCAGTAGTGATTTTGGGAGGGTTCATCTAGCTGATGATGAAACCTTGAAGATCGTCGGAAAATGAGACATCCGATTAAAGTTGCCAAACCAGACCACCGATCTAGCTGTGAATGGAAGATTACCAAAGGAGCACTCATCATTGCTCGTGGTAAGAAGACTGATACTCTCTATGTAACCTCAAATTTAGAGAATATCATTGCGGCCGCAGATGCTGATGGAAAATCAAACCTATGGCACCAAAGGCTTGGCCATATGAGCGAGAAAGGGATGAAGACGCTTTTGTCAAAAGGGAAGCTGCCAGATCTAAAAAGTGTAGATGTCGGACTATGCGAGGATTGCATCTTTGGCAAACAAAAGAAAGTCAGTTTTGCAAAGATTGGCAAGACACCCAAGGCAAAAAGGTTAGAGTTGATTCATACTGATGTATGGGGACCATCTCCAGTTCAATCTCTTGGAGGCTCATTATATTATGTCACATTCATCGATGATTCTACGAGGAAGGTGTGGGTTTATTTTTTGAAGAAAAAATCAGAAGTCTTTGATACCTTCAGAAAATGGAAGGCCATGGTGGAAAATGAGACCGGTCTGAAAGTCAAGCGGTTGAGGTCTGACAATGGAGGAGAGTACAGAAATAGGAGATTCAGAGATTTCTGCGTAAAAAATGGGATCAAGATGGAGATAACAGTTCCCATGACACCGCAACAGAATGGCGTAGCAGAGAGAATGAACATAACTCTGAATAAACGTGCCAGAAGCATGAGGATACATGCCGGATTACCCAAATTTCTATAGGCTGAAACTATCAACACTGTAGCTTACCTGATCAACCGTGGGCCCTCAGTTCCTTTAGATGACATAATACCAGAGGAAGTTTGGAGCAAGAAAGAAATAAATCTTTCACACTTAAGAGTGTTTGGTTGTATTTCTTATGTACACATAGACTTTGCTGAAAGAAGTAAACTCGATGCTAAGTCCAACAAATGTGCCTTTGTTGGTTATGGCGGTGATGAGTTCGGTTACCGGTTTTGGGAATGTGATGTACAAAGACAGGACAACTGTAGAATCAAGCAGCTCCAATACCAAAGCTAAAACAAAGGAATTTGTTGAGTTCGAGGAGATTTCTGGAAATGATGTTCAGATCAGTCCTGAAGCAGTTCAAGAAGAACCATGCACACCATAACTAAGACGCTCCTCCAGAATTCTTAAAACAACCCAGCGGTATTCTCATTCTTTGCACTACTTGCTGCTGACTGACAATGGTGAATCAGAGTGCTATGATGAAGCAATGCAAGTGGAGGATTCAGTCAAGTGGGAGTCTTTCATGAAAGATGAGATGGTCTCGCTTATGTCAAATCAGACGTGAGAATTAGCTGAATTACCATCAGGCAAGAAAGCGCTTCATAACAAGTGGATTTACAGGATCAAAGAAGAGCACGATGAGAGAAAACGCTACAAAGCAAGATTGGTTGTCAAAGGCTTTCAGCAAAAAGAAGGTATTGACTACAATGAAATTTTCTCTCCAGTCGTAAAACTGTCTACAATCAGACTGGTGTTGAAAACTGTAGCTACAGAGAATTTACATCTTGAGCAGTTAGATGTAAAGACAACTTTCCTTCATGGTGATTTGGAGGAAGAAATCTATATGAGGCAGCCAGAAGGCTTCATAGAGGCAGGCAAGAAAAACCTGGTATGCAGGTTGAAGAAGAGCTTGTATGGTTTAAAATAAGCTCCTAAACAATGGTACAAGAAGTTCGATAGTTTCATGAGTAGCAGTGGTTTTACTAGATGCCAAGCAGATCATTGTTGCTACATCAAGAGGTTCGATAACAACTTCATTATTTTATTATTGTACGTTGATGACATGCTCGTTGCAAGCTCAGACATGCAAGAGATTATACACTTGAAGCAAGAATTGTCGAAGCAGTTTGCTATGAAGGATCTGGGAGCTGTAAAGCAGATTCTTGGAATGAAGATTAAGAGAGACACAAAGTCGGGGAGTTTGATGTTATCACAGGCTGAGTACATCAACAAAGTACTTTCCAGGTTCAATATGCAAGATGCTAAACCAATATGTACACCTTTAGGTGTTCATTTTAGACTATCCAAAGAACAGTCACCAAAGACAGAGGAAGAACGTGCACACATGGTGAAGGTGTTGTATGCCTCAGCAATTGGAAGTCTGATGTATGTCATGGTTTGTACTAGGCCAGATATTGCTCATGCAGTGGGAGCTGTTAGTAGGTACATGAATAATCCGGGCAAGGTACACTGGGAAGCAGTCAAATGGATCATCAGATATCTGCGGGGTACTACAAACAATGCAGTTTGTTTGAAAGGTGAATATACGATACTAGCAGACTATGTAGATGCTGACTTAGCCGGAAATGTCGACATCAGAAGAAGCACTACAGGGTATGTCTATACTCTAGGAGGAACCGCAGTGAGTTGGGTTTCTCAACTACAGAAGATAGTTGCTCTCTCCACAACTGAAGCAGAATATGTCTCTGTTACGGAAGCCGGCAAGGAGATGGTTTGGCTCCAAAGTTTCTTAGAAGAGTTAGGCAAGAAACAAAAAAACAATGTCTAGTATTGCGACAGTCAAAGTGCTATTCATCTAGCAAAGAATCCGTCTTTTCATTCCAGAACGAAGCATATACAATTGCGATATTATTTTATTCGGTCTCTTCTGGAAGATGGGATTTTGAAATTTGAAAAGATTAGGGGAGCTCAAAATCCGGCAGACATGTTAACAAAGACGGTGACAACGGACAAACTGAAGTTGTGTTCAACTTCAGTTGGCATGCTAGAGTAACAAGACCATAAATGCTGCTGCATTGATCGAGGTGTGAAGACAAATTAAAATCAGTCTTCAAGTGAGAGATTGTTGAAAGTCCAAGAAGGGGGCAAAAGGGGGCCACCAAAATACCAAACCAAAGTCATATTTTACTGCTCATTAATGCACCGAATTCGATGCAATTAATGTGTTAATTTTTTGAAATTGGAAAAATTACTCTTTTAGTCATTTGAACTTTAGGGTATTTATAAGATTAGTCCCTAAGCTTCAACTATAAATACCCTAGCTCATTTAACTTCAAAATCATCCTAAAAAATCATTTCTTTCTCCCATTACTAGAGAGCTTTCTTGTGAGTAGTGAGTTTTTGTAAACACCAGTAAATTTTCTCTTTTAGTAAAAGATCTGCAGCAGTCCGGAGACGTAAGGAAGTTTGGCTGAACTCGGTTATCAATTTCGGGTATTATTTTTCGCTTTTATTTCGCATTCTCACTAATCTGGTTATAGGAAAATTACTCGTTACTCGTTTATTTCCCAACAGCCGTCCCAAAAGATGTATATGTCATATGTTATTTTCGAGAAAAAGATTCTTAAAATATTTTAATAATTATGATCAAATTATAAAATATCAAAATTTATTATATTTTAATTGTTTCTCACAATATAAAAAAATCCAAACATATAAAGTTAAGACGATATCATAAAACAACTCTATAATTATAATTTTATCATCATTCAAATGCTTTTAGAAGCAAAATTATGATATTTTCCCCAAGTATAAGACCTCAAATTTTAGAATTCTATGATGCGCCAGATAACATTTATAAATGGACGAGCTTGATGTCGACTAATTGATTCGTTCAATCTTAAACGTTTCTACACTTTTCCAGCTGAATTCTTCTTGTAGATTCTCTACACAGTACTCAATCATCCAACTGAAAAATCAAATAGCTATGATATTGGGCCTATGGTTAGGGATGAGTATGGATTGGGTTGGGTTTTTGGTTAACCTGATTCCATCAAAAAATTGTACACCTTTCATCAGATTCAAAAACGATACGAAAATTATACATTCTCCGCCTAACCCGAATTGGATCTATCCGTTTGAGATAAAACTCGAACTTGATCCAATATGAAATAATATATTTATAAAAAATTATTACTTTTATTTAATAAAAAATAGAGATTTAATTAAAAATAATATACAAATGGGTTTTATTATAATTATCTTTAAATATAAAAGGTAAAATTACATTTTTTGGGTCGGACTAAATCAGGTCGGATCAAATATTTTTCACTATAAACTCGAACTCGACCCGAATATAATCTTTAAAAGACCCGACCTAATCCGAATCTAATTTATTTTAAATCCGACCTATAAGAGTCGAATTGAAAAATTTAGGTCCCGCACGTGGATAATATTTGGCACTAGAAACACATTACACGATCTAATTCAAAGAATAAATTTATTTTAATAAATTAAAATTAGGGCCAAATTGATAGAATATATAAATAACAGTTACCAAATATAAAATCAAACCGAAATAAGAAAAACATGAAGACTAAAGGGATTCGAGAATAAACAAAAATAAAAGAAAAATTAGACGTAATTAAAATATAAAACTTAAAATAATAAGATTTTATTGAATTATTAATTAATTAATTTAAATTAAACTCGTATAGGAAGATGTGAAAAAGAGGCAGTGTCATTTGAATGTACGGATTAAAATTTGAATTCGAAGTGTCAAAAGCTTATGATTTATGAATTGGATGATTCCTACACGATATTATCATAGGATGACACGTGTCAGAAAATTCTAAAACTTCTAAAAATATTCTTAAAATATAAATATATATATATATATAATAATTATTTTTAAAAAGATTAGTTGATTTTTTTAATTTTTAGATTTTTTATTTTAAAAATTCAAAAATTATTAAAACATTGAATAATTTTTTTAAAGAAGGGATACTATAAGAGACTTCATTAAAAACTCTCTGGTTCTAATTAGAAGAAAAGAATATTTTTGATAGCATTACAAAATTCAAGATATAAAACTCGAAACCGAAAAAAAAATTCTATCAAAATGTGTCATGTTTTCTTTTAGAATTTCACCTCACCATCTTAGTTAGGGATGGGCATGGGTCGAATTTAGGTTGGGTTTCGGCCAACTCGACCTGACCCGACCAAAAAATTTTACATTCTTCATACTATCCGATCCGACTCAAAAAATATATACCCTCCACTCGACCCGATTTTTTGAGATAAAATTCGAACTCGATCTTACTCGAAATAACAAAAATATTATTTTTATTCAATAAAAACAATGATTTAATTGAAAAAAATTAATATATAGAGGGGTATTATTATAATTATTCATAAATATATAAGGTACAATTATATTTTTTTCAGGTCGGAACCTAACCCGGCCCGAATATCACAACTAAAAATTTTGACCCGACCCAAACCAGAAATTTTTTAAAAAACCTAAGTCAGAACTTATCCGGTTCAAGTCCCATGCCCATCCCTAATCTTAGTTGAAAAACAAAATAGATGGAGTGAAAGTAATAACAAAGAGAGAAAAAAAAATGTTTGCGACGAACTCCTAACAAAAAATATTTCAAGTACTTAAAAGTTACTTCATGCTAAATTATAAAAATTAAGATTTTGGTATGTTACATAGGTAAGATTAATATTAAGGTTTTACAAGTTGGGCATAGCTATGAAAGATAATCATAAATGCCATCCTGCAAGGCTGCAAACTGCAGAAAAAACATCGCCTCATCCCCATCAATCTCTTTTGTTTTCTCCTTCATACCATACTACTTGGGTTAAAATACACCATTTCTCATTTAATTTCACATTCTTTTCTGTTTTACTCGTCATACTTTTAATTTTATTAATTTATTTATTAAATTTTTAAGTTGTTACTATTTTGATATTTTATTATTTTCATATGATGTGAAATTTTTATTATTATTTAATATAAAAAATTTTGAAGGTTGACTATAGTTGACGGTGGGCGTGATTATTCTAAGTTTATTTAAATTTAATAATAATAAAAATATTATTTTATTATTTATTTTAAAATATTTTTATATTTTATAATAAAAAAGTTATGTCATATAAAAATAATAATAAAATAAAGTGATGAAAACATAAGTAATTAAAAAATTCAGTGAATAGATTAAAAAATTAAAAGTATAGTAAGTAAAATATGAAAAAATAAAATAAAATTTAGTGTACAAAATATTTATGTGAAATATTCAAGAACGCCATTTTAATAAGCTTATCTACCTTCACCAATTCATTAATCTTTTAATACGAGAGGGATGCTGTAAAATGGAAAAATAAAAGAAAAAATAATTTTTCTATCAAATTACAAATATAAATTTATAAATATTTTATATTTTCGATTGAGGTTAGTGTTAGTGCTAACCATATGCTAATATTAATTTACAAATTATATATAATACAAATAATGTATTATATTTCTGATATATATATATATATATATGTCTTTTAAAATTTTATAGATTTTAATTATAGGATGGCATGGATGTCGGGGAAGCAATTTTCACGTGGACCTATTCATCAAGTAGTTGGAGTTATTTATTTATTATTGTTTTTTACTTTTTAGTTTATTTTCGTATTTATATTTTCAACCAAAGCTTTCAGTTTTACCCATAACAACACTTCCGCTATTCACCTTTTTTTTTTCATCTCCTTCAATCAATCCCTTTGCTTAAAATTCTTTGAAGCAAATAATAAACTTATTTTAACCCTCAATTCAATCCTGTTTAAACTACTTGGTTGTTCGTTTTTTTTCCGGGAAAAAATGCGGCGGCCGTCTCCGATCAGCAAGAAAGAGGTGGTATTGAAGAGAGGACCATGGGACGAGGAAGAAGACAAATTACTGACTGCTTACATTCAAAAACACGGCGTCGGTTGCTGGACTTCCTTGCCTCAGAGAGCCGGTCTGTTCTCATTATATCCGTGTTTCAAAATAGACTATTAAGATTGATTTCTTGATTCTTTTTCTGATAAATATCTTCTACCATTAATTTTGCCGGTTTATTTTCACTCAGTAATTCCAAGTATATGTAATATTAAAAAGTTTTATGCTGCGTAATTAGATGTTATCCCTTTATATAGGACTCCAACGATGTGGGAAGAGCTGTCGATTGAGGTGGATCAACTACTTAAGCCCAGATATCAAGAGAGGAAAGTTTAGTTTACAGGAAGAACAAACTATAATTCAACTCCATGCCCTTATTGGAAACAGGTAGCTAAATGATCATTATTCTGCTGTCTAACTTAATGATTTATATGTGAAATTTTAATTCATGTAGGTGGTCAGCAATGGCGGCACACTTGCCGAAGAGAACGGACAATGAGATCAAGAACCATTGGAACACACATCTCAAGAAAAGGCTGATCCGAATGGGCATTGATCCCATGACTCACCGAACTCGTACAGATGCCGGTCGAGACAAAGACGGTTCGAATCTAAGCCACATGGCTCAATGGGAGAGTGCTCGTCTCGAGGCTGAAGCCCGGTTGGTCCGTGAGTCGTGCTCAAAACGACATCCAATAACCCAACACACCCGCTCCTCCTGGAATCGACTCACGGGGAGTACCAGACATAGGTGCCCTGACGTACTCAAAGCGTGGCAAGGTCTAGTTGCCGGTATGTTTGTTTTCCCGACCTCAACGTCGGCCGAGGTAAAAACAGCGATGGAGAATGCAGAGGAGTTGCAGGGCATGATGGGTTCAAGCGATGTCGATTATGATGCATGGTTTGAGTTTGAACCTGTTCCAAATATAGTGGAGGGTTTAGCAGATGCTTTTGCTTTGAGTTATCCATCGATGGATGTGGAGCAATCAACAGTCCAAAGTTGCAGTGCGGACGCAGTACTACTATAAAATAATGATTGCTGGGATAGTGTACTTATCTAGTTGAATGCTTCACCTTGTGGCTCGTCTGTTTCAGTGTATGAGAGTTGACCAAAGATGTTTATGGATCATATCGGAAGTATAATCAAATTTGTTAGACAAGTATGGGCCTAATAGGGAGAGAATTGAGCTTTATTGGATCTGAAAAAGGAGATTTGAGATCAAATGAGTAATGACCAAAAGGGTAATTAACTATTTATGAAAACGAGGTTGAAAACTTGAAATTCATTAATTTCTTCATTGTTTGGACGTATGGGACAGGGTAAAAGGCTTAGCATTTAGCACATCATCCTCCATTTCTTCACTGTGGAAACCACAACTTTCAAGCTTGCAAAGAATCCATTTTTGTCATTTAAATCATTATTTTGGGTTAAAGAAGAAAAGATTATTAATCTCCATTTCTAAAGCTCTAAGATAAATTTATCATCTTCCGTTGAAGATGTATGAAGCTATCAGGGGTGTAGGATGGATTTCATCCATTAGGGCTATTCTAAATCTTATCATTGGTATTTTCAAGATTCTAGATTCTTTTTGATACTCCCCTTATGCTTTTGTTGAATTTGCATTTTATTTAGGGTTTGTTTGAAGAGGAAAAGGCAAGGAAAAGATTGGTAGGAGTTGAGCAAGGAATTTTTTTTTTTGTCTTGAACTAAGTTGATACACTTTAAATCTTCAAATGCTTCCTGAACTTCATAATATGATGTTTTATTTGTTGGTACGATGCATGTTGAGTGTTTTGAGTGTTAAACATGTTAATTGATCAAATTAATGAATATATTGTTAAATATATATAAAAATAAGTTTATATGATCCTACACTGCTCTCATAAGTCTTAGTAATAGAGTAAGGTCTTAAATCAAGTGTTTAGATGGACACTAGATGTGATTATTGAGCTTAAAATGATAATTATGTTTTTAATATTGATATTATTCGTACGATATCAATACCGTATTAAATCATAATAGAAACTTTGTAAAGCATGCAAAGAATATCAATATTTATTCTTGAGGTATCATACCGTCGATTTCGATATCGAGATCAAAGGTGAGATTCTAGTATACCAATTCAATATTGTTATTGTTAAGAGTATTGATACCTTAAGAATGATTATTGATACCACTTTCTTGGTATATCTAATGCTATTTAAGCGAACGAATTAAGTAAACTCAGTAGTTAATAAATTGTTATTATTCTTTGAGGTATTGAGTTCAAGCACCACGGATATAAGATATAAAATAATAATTTCATAATTACTTGATAAGCCTTATTAAAGGTCACAAGATTATAAAGACAATTTTACCCTCAAGCATAATACACCATAAACGAGTAAGATATAACTGATAACAAATTGTATAATGACTTGTGAGGCTTATGAGCATCTACGTTTGTGTGAAATCGCATACGAAGATAGATTATCCGAATACATTGATTAAAATTAAAGGATAAGTGTGACTTATTGGCACCTATGTAATTACTTAATGAGACAAGACAACCGTTTCTTATGCTTACGTTGATGGAGTAATACATGATGATTACGACGATAGATCGAGTACTACCTAGTCAATGATACTTGATTACTTAGTGGCATTGAATACAATTTCTATTGTTTATCATATTATTTTGTGACATCAGGTGTCATGATTGTTCATTATTGTTGTTAATTATATGATGTTAGGTGATACCATGTAACATGCTGAAAATCATATAATACGAATTAATTTATCTTAGTAGTTAAAAAATTTGTTATTGTTCGTAGAAGTCACATATTCGAGCACCAATAATTGGTAGTATGATGATTGATCGTTCATTATCAAATAATTGAGATTATTTAAAAAAAAATATTACTTTGCAATCATCTTAGCTTAATCTCAAAAAAATTGTGAATAATAATGAAACTAATGCGTCGATCTTAAATATACATGGATAAGCATGTTATTCCTATTAACGATGATTCATGTCTAGACTCATGCTTTTCTGTTTATATTGTCTTGTAGGGATGTTCATTCGGTTAAAATCGAATCGAATTAATCATAATCGAATTAATCGTACTTTTTTAATCGAATCAAACTTTTTTCGAAAATATTAACCGAACCGAATAAATTTAAGTTAATTCGGTTAATTTTCGAAAACCGAAAATTTTAAAAATTTTCTAATTTATATAAGAATTAAATGTTTTTTAATTCAAAAAAAGTTTATAATTAATTTAAATAATATATAATTATAAAATAAAAATTTCAGATAAATTTTTTAATTAATTAATATTGATTTAAGTTTAAAAGTTATTTAATCTTAAATTATTAATTAGGTTTTAAATGGTTTGGGCTGAGCTCATATATTATATATAATATATATAATATTTTTTAATTAAAAAAGCAGTTTACAATTAATTTAAATAATATATAATTATAAAATAAAAAATTTATATAAAATTTTTAATTAATTAATATTGATTTAGGTTTAGAAGTTATTAGATCTTAAATTATTAATTGAGTTTTAAATAGTTTGGTCTGAGCTCATATGTTATATAATATATTTAATATTTAAAATTTAATTTCGGTTAATTCGATTAATTAACCGATTTTAAACCGAATTAACCGTTAACCGAATTTTAAAAATTTTCTTAACCGTTAATCGATCGAACTAATTCGGTAATCGAACTAATTCGATTCGATCGATTAACCGAATTACTTCGATTATTTGAACACCCCTATTGTCTTGTATACTTATGTTTATGAATTGCACGAACTATAACAGAGTAGGAGTGTGTCACTCGATAATGATTGAACTTTCTCATACAATTGTAATTTCACAAAGAAAAATAATAATTTAAATTTATTATATAAAATAATTTAAGTTCTCAAATTAAATTAATTTAAAAGTAAAATGATAATAAACAAGTTTGAATTTAAAAAAAGTATATGCCATTTTTATTTCGAAAATATATTCAACATCAAATTAGAAGATGCTCTGCCGTAGTTATTTTACATTCAACGGTTACCACAATTTTCCTGCGTAAGACAGTAGTGGTCGCTTTCTCCAATCACTACCCTGCATTTTTATCCTTTTCTTTTCAATGTTTGTTGTCTAGTATTATATTTTTATTTATTTCTAATAATATTTTGTTTCGGTCCTTTCTTCGATAAAAGGTATCATTGCTATCAGTGTTTTTTGATTTCAGGTGCAGGTTCTTTCTATTGGTTTTCTTCGTGATTTTTCTCCTATTATTTTGTACTCAAGGACGTCAAAGTGATTCGTTTTTTTATGTCGTTGCCTTAAGTACTCACGCTCTTGCTCATCAGGTTATTAATAGTCGCTTATTGTTATATTTTACTTTTGATAGTCATAAATGTATTTGCCCAGTAGGTATTTAATAAGACGTTGTTGATGGTACTTTCTTTTATTAATGAATATATCATCGTACTATTTAAAAAAGTATTAAATACTTAAAAAAATTCAAGTAAATATACTTAAAAATTGTAGGGTCCATTTGGTTCTAAAAATAATTTATGTTTTTATTTTTAGAAAACTATTTTCATTTTAAAAGTTTTGAAAATGTTTGGCTAATATAAATAAAAACTTGAATTCAAAAATTAAAATAACGAAAATATATTTGATATCTAAACTTTTTTCAAATAGATATAAAAAATTAGGGTAATAATTAAATAGTTAAATTAAGATATAATCATTAAAAATTTTATTTCATAAATTTAAAATGTGAGTTATGTAAATATAAAACAATAAAGTTGATAGGAAGTTTAAAACACAAAAATTATTTTAGTTTATAAATAAGAATACAACGTTAATATATATGGGATATCTATTAAAATAAAAAAACATAAAAAATATTATAAACAATAGGACACAAAAGTGTCATTAAAATAAAAAAATATTTAGTGGTATTTAAGGCCCTCAAACTTTTAGAGAAAAAACTAATGTATCTCATGTGACCCTTAAATTGAGAAAAAAATAATTTAACCCTATGACCAACATAATCAAACATTGACTTTCACGATATTTATATTGTAAAACCCTAAATTTCAATCAAGTAATTTCGAGTTTATTCGAGAGGTAATTGGGCTTTGTAAATTTAATTAATTAAGTTGTTGGGCTTAATTGGGGTAGTTTTGGGGCCCAATTAGTCATAAAAAGGGATTTTTAATTAATAGACAAAATGCAAAGGATTAAAAGAGCAATTAGACCATTGTTGGAAATTGAAGCTAAAATTGGGGTTTTATTTCAAGTTTGAACGTGAGCTTCCCATTTTCCTCTCCATCTTCTTCATTTCTTTTTCCTTTATTTTCTCCAAGTAGCCATAGTTCGAAGATAAGGTCTTGAACTTTTTTCTTATTATATTTTCGTCCTAAATGTCCCCAACAACATCATTTTGGAGATTCAAGCTTTGGGTTTTTATTTTGCAAGGAAAAATGAGTTTTCTTCATCCAAGCCTTCGAGGAGGGTGATTTCTAGCTAAAGGATGTTCATTTCGGGTTTCTAAAATTAAGGTAGTGTATTTCTAAGAGAAAATAACCTCAGTGACCAAAAATGCCTTATAATATACGATTTTAACCAACTTTTTTTGGATTTGCCAAAATGACCAACTAAATCGCAATGCGATCGATAATTCGCAACTCGATCTCCGGTATCGCAAATCAGTTTCCAGATTCGCAACGCGATTCTGACTATCGCATTGCGATTTTCCAAATTCGCGTTGCGATTTTCCTAATTTGCAATGCGAATACGTAAATCGCAATGCGAATACGTAAATCGCAATGCGCATACGTAAATCGCAATGCGAATACGTAAATCGCAATGCGAATACGTAAATCGCAATGCGAATATGTAAATCGCAACGCGAATCTGACTATCGCAACGAGATTCCAACTATCGCAACGAGATTCTGACTATCGCAATACTGAATTTCAAATTCGCAACTCGATTTCTGAATTCGCAACAGGTTTTAGTTTCGCAACACAAATGT